AGTCTACCGCAGTGTGTGTGTGGTTGTGCGCGTGTGAGGGGTCCCTCTGAGGGTGGGAGTGGGACACTCAGAGCGCATTCTGGTTAAGTCAAGAAATATGCACTGAAAATGCCTTAATAATTAGAACATGTATCGTCGTCCACACTGAGCCATCTAGAACGGCAGGGACCATTCCAGCTGTGCCATCCAGTGTGGTCCACAGGCCGAACGTAGCTATGAGCACCTGGCATGGAGCTAGGACAAGCTGAGCTGCGCTCCAAGTGTAATGTATACTCCACAATTGGGAGAATTTTTATTAAAAAAATTTTTTTCAGATGCTGTCTGCCACATTACTCCACTATAGAGACACTGGTTTTCTCTTTATCAACATGTGGGGGGACCTTGAGACTGTGTAAATACCCATGACTTCTCAACATTGACCATTCGTTTGAGCTGCCACTGATGCTGTTTGCCTGTCTGTTAATATTATGTCACTGACCGAGTACTGCTTCTCTAATTTCATCATCTTGCTGCATTTGTCTGTTGACATTCGACTCTCCGGAAGAGCTTTTCTCCCCTCCCTCACGTGTGTATCCTCCAACTGATACATATCAACATGGACTCTTGAATTCTCATTTTACTCAATGCATTATAATTCTTTACCATCATTTATGTGATGCTCAAGTCATCCCAGATTAGGCCGGTGGGAACCCTTTCAAGCGGGCTCCCTTGTCCTCTTGACGTCTCCCCATCATTCTTGGAGCACTTCCTTGGTTTCTGGAATAAGATTTCCAGGCTCATCTTGTAAGCCTCTGGCTCCAATTTTGTAACCAGCCATTTCCCCAAGGAGCTCTGTTCCTTTCATTGGAGAACAGTGTTTAGAAACCAAGCTCTGGGAGCTGGGTGGGCCGACGGCTGCAAGGTTACCACTGCTTCTATGCCCTCTCAGTGGACAGGGCTGGGAAATAGATGGAAGTATGTACAGCATTTTTATTTACTGTAAAAAAAAGTAAAATCTGGCTAATACTTTTTCTATTGATTATATATTAAAATGAGATTTTGGATATATTGGGTCAAATAAAGCATATTTAAAATTAATTTCATTTATTTATTTTTCCTTCCTCAGTAGTCTACAAAGCAGGAGTGACACAGACTCCAGCTACTTGTCTCTGTCTCTGTCCTCCCTTCTTCCTTGACTCAGAGAACCCTCGAACTGAGCGTGGATTGGAGAGTGCTCTACCAAAGGGAACATTTTCCAGCCTTCCCAGGACCTGTGGCACTAAGTTCTGGCCAAGGCGTATGAGGGAAAGTGATCTGAGCCCCCTAGATTGTTCCTTTAAAGGAAATGGCCACGCCCACCTCGTCTCATTTCTCCATTCGTTTTTCTCTCTTTCTTTCTTTTTTTGAGGAAGATTAGCCCTGAGCTAACATCCGTGTCCATCTTCCTCTACTTTATATGTGGGACGCCTACCACAGCATGGCGTGCCAAGCGGTGCCCTGTCCACACCTGGGATGCGAACAGTGAACCCCAGGCCGCTAATGCGGAACGTGCGCACTTAACCGCTGCATCACCAGGCAGCCCCACATGTCTCCATTCTTGTTGAATGACAAAAACAGGAACGGTCATCTTATACTGCCTTCAATTTTCCAGGATGATTTCAGTGCATATAGAAGTCTGTGCTGATGGCTTTCTTTTTTCTCTCAGGGTACTAAAGATTCAAGGGTAATTTATAGAGAGACTCCGGGCTTCTCCCTCTGGGGTCCCTCCCTATTGGGATTTCTCCTCTCCATTTCCCATTGCTCTGGCGTCCCCAAACTCTGGCGTCTGACACGTCTAGTCAATAGCTGGTTTTCTGCTGGAGTTCCAGCTGTTCCTTGGCACGTGGATGAGGAAAAGCCATGCATCCTAGAGCTTATCCCAGAGGAAAAGCCACATAACTGTAGATCTCACACAGTGTGTTCCGTTCTTTGAAAGGTCGAACCCACTCCAGTCTCTGCCTGCTTCTGGCTGCTCTCCAGTGCCTTCAAATAGTTGTTTTTTAAAAAAACGATTGTGTCCAGAGTTGGAAACTGTTGTCCGTGGGGAGCTTGGTCGGTACCCTCTCCCCTGTGCCCTCCTGTCTCCCTGTCCTGTTCTCCCTCAGGTGAGTGATTCTCACTTGGGGTCCCCCGTGGTTGCAGTCAGATGTCAGCTGGGACTCGATTGATCTGGAAGCTGGGCTGGGCTGGAGTTCACTCACATGGCTGCCTGTTGGCTGCAAAGTCAGCGGGGGGTGTTGACCAGGGCACCCACAAGTGGCTTCTCCAGGTGACCCGGACTTTCCACAGCACTGCGGTCCCTACGAGGCTGCACTTCTTCCCTGGGGACTGGCTGCCCTCTGAGCAGGGTTTCAGGGGAGGAAGTGGAAGCTGAAGGCTGGTTAAGGGCCACGCCCAGAAGTGGCGCTGTGTTCTATTGGTCTGAGCAGTCTCGGGCTCTGCCCGAGTTCGAGGGGATGGTGGAAAATAAGCTCACTCTGGGTGGAGGGGCAATGTCGCATCGCAGAAGAGCATGTGGGAGGGAGGAATTGTGGGGATCACGGCCGGAAAGTACAATATGGCCACAACAGACACAGCTGTTCCCTCCACACAACACTCTGCGTGTGCACCATGCTGCATGAGCGAAGGTGTCTGCCTGGGGTCCAGGGCTGCGCGTGCCCAGGGGAGTCCCTGAATCCTGACACCTCCAGAGGCTTTGTCCAACCCCAATGCTGGGGACAGGGGACCAATGAGTGTCACTCTCCGTGGTCCTGAACTTGCTGCCCCAGCATGATATCTGCCTTCCCAGAGACACGCAGCGGAACGGATCAAATCTACTCACACGCACGCATTACAGGTGCTTTGTTTGCATTGTTGATTGACAAAATATACATGAAATTTGATAACGTGGTACATGATGACAAAACAAGGGGAACCATCCTGTTTGATAATAATGGCAAAAAGTCAGTGAATGATCTCAGTGGATCTGGTCATGTTCTATGCGCGGTCCAAGGGTAACTCCTTGAATTCACACAACGACCTTGTGATGAAGGTGCTATCATCAGCACACATTTTAAGGCCTGGAGAACTGAGGAACAGAGAGGTAGACGATCTGCCCACTGTCACACAGCTAATGTTAGGATTTGAAATAAAGTTGTTCTTGGCTTCAGAGTCCACACTCTTAACCACCATGGTATGTGCACTCTAAAAGCAAACAGACAACAAAAACACATGTGATAAGTAAGATTTTTGATAACTGTGCATTTGGGTCTCATCCCAGTAAGACAAACCCAGCAGTAGCCAGGCAGCTGGGTGATGGGAACCAACGCCTGTTCCCTGTTCTTCCGCACTATTGCTCAGCAGGTCCCCGTGGTTCCTCCCCAGCCTGGGACGTTGCCGACTCCTGTCCACTCTGTCCCTGGAGCTGTGAGGGAGGGTGGAGGGGGTGAGGGTGGAGTCAGGGGAGTGGAAGAGAGAGAGGCCATATCGAAACAAAAAGACTTTAATCTTAAATAACACTTTCAAAAGTAACCCAATACTCACAGGTTTTCTTTGTTCTTCCCTGCTCTCTTGATGAAAAATGGGCAAAAGAAATAAAGCCGTCCCTTCTGTGTTTAATTTACACTGCTCATGTAGTAATGATAGTTTTGGCAAATTTCCTGCAGTTTGAGACTTTTCTGCTTTAGGATTTTCGTGGTTTAATGGGCAGGGTGGCCGTGTGTTCACCCCATCAAGTTCCTGAGATCTCATCGTCCCTCCCAGCCACTTCCAGGAAGAGAGAAAGAGGGGAGGATCCTGGAGAAGGGAAATGGGGCGAGAGGCCTCAGGGAGGTGAACGGGGTTTGCCGTAAAGCTTCTCCTAGATGGGGCTCCTGGAGACGGACTGTGAGATGGGAACTTCCAAGCAGAAGGTCAGGTGGGGAGGGGTCTTGGGAGACAGACCCTGGGGCAGTGTGGGAGGCAGGATGGGGTAGAGCGAGAAGCTAGCCCACGAGACAGTGGGAACAAGGCCTCGCCTCACCCTGCAGGGAGCTCTGGAGCCGGGGGCCTTCGGAATTGTCCCAAACTGACGCAAGGGGTCGGCTTTGTGTCTCCATGGGGGTCTGTTCCTGGCTGTGGGCTTCGCTGGATTGAAGCATAGACGTGGGAGAGGACTCTGGGTGGTCTGATCTTCAGAAGGAACTTACAGAAGGAGGACTAGGAGGATGAGCGACACCCCCCGTCTGCGGCTGGTCACAGGGAGGCAGCTGGTGCTCGTTATTCCCTGCTCCACCACACCTTCCAGATTCCCTTCTCCCTCGCCCGGTACTTCTACCGGTTCAGGTGGCTGACGGGATGGGACGACCAGACCCTGATCTCTGAGTGGCCTGAGGCCCTCGTCACAGGGACCTTCCCAGGCTACGGCTGCTGTTTACTTCTTCATTTCAGTTTCACTCAATCTGGTCGACAGAGTAACGGAAGCCGGCCCCGTGGACGTCCTGGGTGCTGACCACGTTCCTCCTGCCCGTTCTGTGCAGCAGGAGCCCACCTCCTCCTGACACCGGGTCAGTCACCCTGTCAAGATGTCGGCTCCTCCTCCTGTTTGTTGGCCTCCTGGCAGCAGAGCAGTGACTGGGTGACCATCAGAGCTTAAGGTTCAGTGGATTCTCGCTGTGCTCCCGGTGGAAAGGACCCTTCTCTGGGGACCAGGGCTCTGATTCTGCAGAGCCTAAACTTTTTCCGGTAGGAAGCACCAATGTCTAAGGGGGGTCAGTGGGAAGGGTGGTAAGCAATGCCGTCTTGGCATCAGCCCTGCTTCCCAGACTCCTTCTTCTACCTATTGGGCCCAGCACCATACAGTGATGGTGACGTAGGGCGGATGCTGCTCACCCAGTAATGCCCCCTCTCCTTGCAGCGTTCCAGTTCCGAGCATGGCCTACGCTGCATCTTTAAGAGGCCGTTTCACGGCTCTATTAGGGAGGAGCTTCTGGGCGGGGGGGACTGCAGTGGGACCCGTGGATCCCATGGTTGTGGCCATGCTGCGCTTCCTTTGCCGTAAATCCCGTGAGCCATGGCAACAGCACGCAAGATCCTCGTTGATGGATCAGAGTCTGAAACCCCTCAGCTAGTTCTGGCCGAGGCCTTGAGGGCAGGAAAGGCACACCCATGGCTGGGTTATCCCAGCCGAGAAAACCACAGCCCGTCCAGGGTGGAAGGGATCAGTGTCGTCAACGTGCCACCAAGCAGCAGGCTGGTCTCCTCAAGGCTGGAGCTTCTGGCTGGCCAGTTTGACCCTTAGCAGTGGCAGCAGCTAGATCAGTTATCACGAAGGGGAGCTCATGCTGTTGGGCCCCATGCGTGGCCTTCATCCTGACACTATGGCTGCTCCATTGGGGTGCCCAGGGTGTCAGAGCTGGGGAGGATGATGACAGAGCCTGAGGTCAACTGGGCAGGTCATATTTTTCCTTGGTTGATTAATGTCACTTCAGTAGTCAATACTTTCTGCTGATCATTGACGTGCAAAAAACTCTTCATGCTGTGTGTCCACCCCATATGTCCGTTCCTATACCTCTGTCCCAACGTCCTCATCTGTGATCATCTCATCATTTTCAGGCTGATTCCAGGCAGCTGATGAGTACCAGGCTGATTGTCACTCCTCATAAGTTCATGGACAGTGACCTCGGGCTACTGCTCTTCCCACATGGTGGGTCATCTGCTCTGTGCCCTGGAGCTCTGCCCACTGGGGAGGTTCCCTCTCAGCACCACCTTTCAGGGTCACCCTTGAATTGAGCTGTAGTGAGACAAAAGCCCCTTTTCTTCTTGTCCCCACCTGCTGAGCCAACCCATGGACTAAGCTTAGCCTCTTTCTTCCAACATCAGCCAGTCATCAAGGACCCCGGCCGTGTGGCCTTGGGGATGAACAGAGGAATGGGCACTGATGCAACAGTGACGGATGATGTGGAATTTGGGCCACCTGTTCAGGAAGCTGACTTGTCCTCTGGCCCTGCCTGTGCCCAATCCTAGAGGCGCCACTTCCATCTTACAAGGAACAGTTGCCTGGCTCACCTGACCTTACGGCTCAGCGGCTCAGACAGCTCCTAGTTGGTGACCCGATGTCTCGTGGCCTGTGCTTTCTCTCTGGCACAACCCAGCAGCCCGCCAGGCTCGGCTTTATGAACGGTGGATGCTTTGCTGTGGTGCACTGTCCTGCCTCCAGAACCCTAGTGGGCCATGTGTGATTCTCCTCCTGAGGTTCCTGTAAACTCCACACGGGCTCCTTCCTTTCCCCAGATGCCTCCAGTTCCACAGGGTCTGTTAGATCACATGTTTCGAGGGGCAGAGCTCACACCACAGCCTGGATCTGCGGCAGAGTTCTCTTCTGCATCCCGTTCAAGGGAACACCTTTCCGTGTTTATGGCGTGGAGTGTTATTCCCAAGTGTGGAATGTGCTGTCTGCTGAACCCAAAGACGCCTACAAGCCTGTGCCTTTCTCTTTGTGGTGGGAGGTATGAGCTGCAATAAGTTTATTAGGGGGGGTGCCCTGACACATCCCAGACTTCTGGACTCCCAAAAACCTCGCTCATGTAGAGGCTCCTAAACCTTTGATGAGTGTCTCTCCCACCTCTGGAGCACGTCTTCCAATGCTCTTGTCACTTCTTCCTCATGCGCTCTGATTAACGTGGTGCCACTGAAGAGTCAGCCAATGTAAAGACTGAGGAAGGTCCAGATGGGCCGGGTCCCGACAGCTGACGTCATGACAGAGGGCAGGACTGGAACATACCCCTGGGGCCCGGTTCAAGTGTGCCTCCCGGCTCCTAAGGGAACGTGAGCAGCTTCTGATCCTCCTTTCCGGGAGGGACAGAAAGATTACATGTGCCGGGTCAATGGACACAGATCAGAGAGTGAGACCGTGTCCATCCTCTCCAGCAAAGACACCGTGTCCAGCACTGCAGCCAATCTGGGCTACACTGGGGGAAGTCTGAATGTCCACTGTCATCCACTCTGATCCATATGGCCTTTGAGGGGCTCAGACAGGTGCACTAAACGGGATATGACAGGGACCACCACTCCTGCGTCCTTTGCGTTTGAAGACGGCGCTCGCCTCTCGTAACCTCTGGGATGTAATGATTTCTAAAAACTTGTGGAGGCCAGGATGGAAGGAAGCAGTCTCAGAAGCTGCGATGTGGCCTCTCCCCAGTGAGCAGCTCCGTGAGCCAGATCTGGGTCAGGGCTCCCCTTCTTCCTGCCTCCATGTGTCCCCCACTGGCAGAAGGGACAGATGGCGCCTGGGTCCCTAACATCAGCACCAACCCAGACCCTCTGCTCAGCACTTAGAGAGCCTGGGTCTCCCCCTTTCACCGGTGTGCTGTTTGCATCCAAGGAGATTGCCATTGGCAATGCTTTGCTACTAAACGTTGAGCAACCGGCTCTCTTTAAGAAAAGCTCTGATTTGTAGCATTTTCCAGCTTCTCTGGTGTAGACACCACCACCACGGCTGACATCAAGGCGCCAACACGCGTCCCTGAGTACGGAATTCGGAAGAGGCGGCAGCAGGACCTCGTGACAGAGCATTTCCATACAGACACGATAGACACGCTGTTGTCCTTTCCGAGGGCTGTCGAGACAAAGAACCGTGACCTGGGCGCCTTAGAACGTCGGGAATGTATTGTCTCACCCTTCTGGCGGCCAGAAGTCCCAATCAAGGTGTCCGCGGGGATGCGCAGGTCCCTGTGAACCTGTAGGCAGGATCCTTTCCCGCCTTTTCCTGCTTCTGGTGTCGCCATCCCTCCTTGGGGCCCTCGGAGGCACCACTCTCGTCTCACCCCCGTTGTCACCTGGCCGGCCTCTCCTTATGCGTCTTCTTCCTCTTTGAGAAGCAGAGCAGTCACGGGGCCTGGGGCCACCCTGAGGACCTCATCTTGACCGATTCCATCTGCAGTGACCCTATTTCCAAATGAAGTCGCATTCTGAGTACCAGGGGTCAGGCCTTCAACGTATCTCCTAGGGGGACACGCCAACCCATAAATAACCTCAAGGGCATAGATAATAGTAATGTATAGTAACAGGAAAATAATTAGGAAGTGATTTATGAGCATTTATTACCTTTGTTTTAATACAACTTTTAATTATGAGGTTATATAATTTAATTTTTAATGGCTTCGTTTAACAGTCAACTTATTAAATTCCTGAAAATTGAACAGTTGGCGCTCGTGAGTGGGACAAGCCGGCTCCAGCACCGCGGTCATGGGTCCCTCTGGGAAGGCCTGGGGAAGTCACTAGTGAGCACACTTGCTGTGGCATCCTAGGGCCGTCCTCACAGGGGCCCGGCCTCCCCTGCCGTTTGGGATCTGAAAACCGACTCAGGTCTGCAATCAGGGCGAGGGCCCACGACTTCTTATTGGGGCGTCGGCCCTCAGCCTCGTCGTCGTCCATCCTCAGTTTCCCCGGATGCTATAAATCAGGAAATGCTCACAGTGGCTGCCGTCTACCTTGCCGCTCGCAGGGTTACGTTCTCCTCGAGCTCCCCAGTGCCTTTCGCGGGTCAGGCTCACTGGCTGCGGTCCAACCTTGCTGCTTGTCCCAATCATTGCGTCCAGCTTTCCTCTGGAGCCTGTGTCACCACCTCGTCTGTGTTATTTAGGGGTCCTACCATCGCCATCATCATCAGGTGGTCCAGCTTATGAAAGCATCCCCCGCCGTCAGCCCGGGCCCACGGAGGGAGCCACCTCGGAGTCTCCTGGTGACGCTGGCACACCCGTGCTGGCGCATTCCCTGTCACTCTGGAAGCAGAGTGTCATTCATGCAGCGTCTCCCATGGACCACGCAGCCGGGTGGGCCTCCAGCCTCACGTGACCCATCCCCTCCTGCTGGTCCTCTGGGCCTTCGGTACCAGCACCATGTCTACCTCACGGAGTGTGGGCCTTCACGTTTTCCGAGCATATTAACCCCATCTCCCAGGCTGCTTCCTGGGATGTTAAATCCTTTATACAGGAGAATACTCTGGAATTGGTAAATTCTCCCTAATCCAACCATTGTGGGTTGACTTGTGCCCTCCCAGCTCCATGCCCCGAAAATATGTGTTGCGGTCTGAACCCCCAGGACCTCAGGATGGACCTTATTGGATATAAGGTTGTTGCAGGTGTAATTAGTAAAGAGAGGGCCATGCTGGAGTAGGAGGGGCCCCTAGTCCTATGCGACTGGTGTCCTTAAAAGAAGACGGCCATGTGAAGACAGAGACACAGGGAAAGGGCGGTGGGAAGAAGGAGGCAGGGAGCGGAGCGTGCGGCTGCGAGACGAGGAGCACCAAGGATTGCCGGTACAGCATCGCAGGCTCGGAAGAGACAAAGACGGACTCGCCTGTGCCTTTCAGAGGGAGTATGGCCCTCCCGACACCTTGGTTTTGGACTTCTGGCCTCCAGACCGTGAGACAATAAATTTCTGTGTTAAGTCACCCAATTCATGGCACTTTGTCATGGCCGCCCTGGGAAGGGACACACCAACCTCCCTTCTGTCACCTTCGATGGAGCGCGCTTGGGAGCCAGTCCACGCACACACCGGCTCCTCATGGTGCTTATTCCCATGCCCTGTGACATCCTTGGTGTCTCTTGGCATCCCAGGTGGGGGCAGGGCCTTATCAATGTGTTCACAGAGTCACATGTTTTTGTAAAATGAGCAAAAAAAATGTTTTTCCATTATGTTTCTTTTTTTTATTGAGATACAATTGACATATAACATTATATGAGTTCAGGTGTACAGCATAATGATTCGATATCTGTATATATTGTGAAATGGTCACCACCATAAGTCTGGTTAACGTTCGTCACCATACATAGTTATAATTTTTTTTCTTGTGATGAGAACATTTAAGATTTACTCTCTCAGAAGGGAACCCTTGTTCACTGCTGGTGGCAGTGCAAACTGGTGCAGCCGCTATGGAAAGCAGTATGGAGTTTCCTCAGAAAATTAAGGGTAGATCTACCATATGATCCAGCTATTCCACTGCTGGGTATTTATCCAAAGAACTTGAAAACACAAAGGCATAAAGATACTTGCACCCCTATGTTCACTGCGGCATTATACACAATAGCCAAGACATGGAAGCAACCTAGGTGCCCATCAAGGGACGAATGGATAAAGAAGATGTGGTATATATATATAATGGAATACTACTCAGCCATAAGAAATGACGAAATCCGGCCATTTGTGACAACATGGATGGACCTTGAGGGTATTATGATGAGTGAAATAAGTCAGAGGGAGAAAGTCAGGTACCATATGACCTCACTCATAAGTAGAAGATAAAAACAACTGAAAAAAAACCCCACATAGTATTGAAGATTGGACTGGTGGTTACCATTGGGGAAGAGGGGGAGGGCAAAAGGGGTGATTAGGGTCACATGTGAGGGGACGCACTATAGTTAGTGTTCAGGTGGTGAACATGATGTAATCTACACAGAATTCGAAATATGACGTACATCCGAAAAAAATAAAAATTAAAAAAAAAAGATTTACTCTCTCAGCAATTTTCAAATCAACAATATAGTATTATCAACTATAGTCACCACGCTGTACAGTACGTCCCTGTGACTTATTTATTTTATAACTGGAAGTTCGTACCTTTTGACCACCCTCACCCATTTCGCCCCCTCCTGGCAACTACCAATCTATTTTCTGCATCTCTGCGTTGTTCTTTTTTTAGATTCTACAGATGAGTGAGATCGTACAGTATTTGTCTTTCTCTGTCTGACTTATTTCCCTTAACATAATGCCCTCAAGGTCCATCCACGTTGTCACAAATGGCAAGATTTCCTTCTTTTTATGGCTGAGTAATATTCCATTGTATATATACCACATCTTCCTTATCCGTTCGTCTATCGGTGGGCACTTAGGCTGTTTCTATGTCTTGGTTATTGTGAATAATGCTGCAGTGAACGTGGGGGTGCATGTATCTTTTTGAATTCGTGTTTTCATCTCCTTTGGTTGCATACCCAGAGGTGAAATTGCTGGATCGTACGGTATTTCTATTTTTAAATTTTTGAGCACTCTCCCCACTGTTTTCCGTAGTGGCTGCATCCATTATGTTATTTAAAAGGAGCCCCTAAATTGTGTGAGCTTCAAGCCCCGCTGATCCCGGGTCTGCCCCTGCGAGTGAGAACAGCTCAAACCAGTCAGTCCACACCGAGTAGAGTCCACACACGGGCTGAGCCGCTGTAACACAGAGACCCCCCAAATCAGTGGATGAATCCACAGCCGCGTCATTCTCCACCACCTCCCAGCCCAGTGAGTGGTCCAGTTGGCAGGACGGCTCTGCTCCGTCCTCCGGGGACCCGGTTCTCTGCTCGGCAGCCCCCTAGGGCGGGCATTCTTAAGCATGTTCATTCATCGGACCTCGTGGCAGCCTTGCAAAGCTTCTCAGAATAAAAGAAAGTACGCAGGACAAAGGAATCCAGTTTGTACTGTAATGCAGTAGTCCCAACATTGTGTCGAGCTGTGCTATAGTAATTTATGCGCTCTTCATTAATGCATTCATTAAAAAGCCACCCATGGCAGCTTTAATAGCTACTGGAACTTGAAAGTAGAGAGGAGCATAAATGATATTTCAAGATGCTTCAGCAGCCACATTCATTCCCAACTCGGACTTCAGCAGCTGGGGGAGGGGAGAGGAGCCCCGTCCTTGTCTTTACTCTCTGCTGTCCCCCCTTTCCGACTCCTCTTCCCACCCACCGCGGCCCTCTCCCTGGTCATCTCCCCTCGCCTAGCAGCCTCGCTCTGGGAGCCTCCAGCCCCTTCATGGAAATGCTCCCTCACCACCCCCACCCCCCATCACACACCTACCACCGCTCCTTGTGGGTCGAAGCGGCCCCAGCCCTGAGGATGGTGCAGCTGAGGAAGTCACCTTCTGTGTCAGTGACCCTCTCCCTGGGTCCCTGGCTCTCCTGGCCCTGCCCTGCTCCCAGCGTCCCCAGCCTGGGGCTTCCCCTAGGAACACGTGCCACCCTCGGGCTGTGCTCTCCTGCATCAGCCCAACTGCCCGTGTGTCCAGGCTAAACATTGCACCATGGAGCTGAGGCAAGAATTATGTCCCGGATGGAGCAGGAAGTTCAGAGACACAGCTGGGGACAGAGAAGCAGGCTGAGACCCAGGAGGGGAGACTGAGGCCAGACATGCAGACAAGACCTAGGTGGAGCCTGGGCCATGGAGCTGAGGGCAGCGCCTGCGTCCTCCTTCTGTGACAGGGGCTCAGGGGTCAGGAATGGAGCCGGGGGAGGTGCATTAAGACAGTGAAGGACACCTTCGAGAGTCCCCCATCATCCCTCCTGTTGGGGGCTGACCTCCGCCCTTGCCCTCTAGAGAGGGTCCTTCCTGCTGAAGAACCACACCTGCCGCTCCCGCCCCTTCCCCAGGACCTGGGACCTGAGGCAGCTGCAGGTGAGTGGGGGGAGTCAGGCCCCCGGCCCTCACCCGGCCCCCTCTTCTGGAGACACAGGCAGCCCCTTCAGCTTCTCCTTCTCTCCTTCTGTTGTCCCTGTCTCCTTGCCCTCTGCACCAGTCCCCTTGACCTCTTGCCCTCACCTGACCACCGTGCCTCTGCCCTCCCACCTGTCCCCCGACTTTCACCTTCACTGTCCCCTCCTCGGTCCTGCTCACCTGTTCTCTCACATGTGACTCTCACCTGTCTTCTCTCCCCATCCTCAGGTGTGGGAGCGCCCCGTGGCCCTGGAGGCTGAGCTGGCCCTGACTCTGCGGGTGCTGGCTAACTCGTCCCTGGGGGACGTCCTGGACCGGCCCCTTGGCACGCTGAGCCACATCCACTCTGAACTGCAGGCCTGTGTGAGTGCCCTGGGGAGCCGGGCCATGTGTGTGGGCTCTGACCCCCCATCTGTCCCCCTCCGGCCCTGGCCCCGCCTCACCCACCTCCCTCCTCTGCCTGCAGGTGGCTGCTCAGCCCACAGCGGGTCCCAGGCCCCAGGGCCGCCTCCTCCAGTGGCTGCACCGGCTCCACAAGGCCCCAAAGAAGGTGAGCGCCCAGGGAGAGACCAGTGTCTGGGGCAACTGGGAGCCCAGGTGATGGGCGGCCACTGACCCTGCGCTTCCTCCCCACAGGAGCCCTGGGGCTGCCTCGAAGCCTCTGTCATGTTCAACCTCTTCCGTCTCCTCACCAAGGACTTGACGTGTGTGGCCAGTGGAGACCTGTGTGTCTGACCCCTGACACCCACCGGCAACCTGTCCCATCCCCTTAGACATGATTTGTGTACCAAATACCTCTCCTAGATTATTGCTTGCAGATCCCTATTTGTCATGCATTTACTCTTGCACTTTTTATACAACGTGTGAAAATAAACGATTTGTCTTTGACATTGACCTTGTTAGTATGTGACTGTATAAATGAATGCTGGGCTGCATATGTGCCTGTGGTCCTCTGAGGGCGTGTTTTCAGGGGAAGAGCTAAGGAGGGTGCGGGGAATGTACAGATCAAGAAGGGGGAGAACAGGGGGACAGGAGAGAGAGGGAGGGAGGGAATATGACAGGAAGGATGAGGAGTGAAAGGATCCCTAAGGATGCCTTCAGCCACAAGAAACGGAAGATTTCATCGCAGTGACTTAAACATCTCAAGAAGTCATTACACCAAGTAATAAGGTGCTCAGAGGGAGGCTGTGGCTGGTCCAATCAGCGGGACAAGGGCTTATCATGGACCCAGGCTCTGTACCTGTGAGTATTTCTAAGGCTACGTGTCAAACCCGTGTCCGTGGTTCATTCTCCTAAACCTCCTGTGCTTCTAAACCTGGGGCGACTATGTCAGGGTGGAGGTCTCATGCGAGGAATCTCAGAGCTGTCACCTAAAAAGTTGTTGAAGTTCCACTGTGGGCTTCCTTTTGTGTGGACAATTGTGTCATCTGCAGTTTCATTTCTCCTTTTCCGATCTCTGTGCCTTTTATTTCCTTTTCCTGCCGTATTGCATTGGGCAGAACTGCAGTGCTACATTGAATAAGATGGAGAGAGAGGGCGTTCTTGCCTCATTCCTGATCTCAGACGGAAAGCATCCGTCTTCCACCGTGAAGTGTCGTGTTAGCTGCAGGCTTTCTGTAGCTGCTCTCGATCAAGTTGAGGAAGCTCCTCTCCATTCCCATCTTTCTAAGAGTTTCTGAAAAATCACGAATGGCTGTTGAAGTGCGGCAAATGCTTTTTCTGCATTGATTGATTGATATAATCAAGTGATTTTTCTTCTTGAGCCTGTTTTGGTGGATTATGTGGATTCATTTTCAAATATTCAACTAGCCTTGCACCATTAGAATGAGCCCAAGTGTGTCACGGTGTATAATTCTTTTGATCTATTGCTGAATTCCATGTGCTAATATTTTGTTAAAGATTTTTGTGTCTGCACCTTTGTGTGAGATCATAAATATACCTCACTTTTTAAGCCCGTTGAGGTAGGGCTTCCTGTTACTTACAGTGGAAAGCATCCTTAATGATACCCGTGGACATGAAAGGAGTGACCCCTCAACGCTGAAGAATTCCGGCTGCATGGATGGCTCTGCCTCCACCATTTCCCAAGACGGTCATTGGTAGGAAGCTGCCAAGTGTCCTTCCATTCAGTATCCATGGAGGGCAGTGGAAGATGAATATTCTGGGGCTGAAATCTGGGAACTGGGCTCTTCCACTTATTCCCATCTATCTCTGTGACATCACTGTTTCTTCAAACCACTATTTCTTGAAAGTTTCACTCCAGCTCTTTATTTTTTTTTAAAGATTGGTACCTGAGATAACCTGTTGCCAATGTTTTTTTTCCTCCTTCTTCTCCCCAAAGCCTCCCAGTACATGGTTGCATATTCTAGCTGTAGGTCCTTCTGGCTCTGCTGTCTGGGATGCCGCCTCAGCATGGCTTGATGAGCAGTGCTAGGTCTGTGCCTAGGATCTGAACTTGTGAAACACTGGGCTGCTGAAGCTCAGCATGCTGACTCACCCACTCGGCCATGGGGCCACCCTCTACTCCAGCTCTTTCAAATCTTCTCTGCTTCCTCATGTGCACTATGCCACCATGTCCTCTCTTTCTCCAAACAGATTACTTTGCCCTGTACCTCACGGAATCTGCCAGGTAGAAATTCCTCATACATCTCCCATCTGCCCCCACACTCTCCTTGCTCTCCTATCACAATGGGTGAGCTACCTTCTTTCCTAACTTGGGCCAGTGCCCCCTCCTAGCCCCTCCTATCTCCTTCCTCCATAAGGTATCTGCCCATCAGCAGTCTCCCCTTTTATAAAATCCTTTCTTAATCCATGCTCTTTTCCCCAACCACTTCTCCATCTTTCCCTTCCACCGGCTCCATTTCCCGTCCTACTCCAGTTGCCGCAGCCGCTACAGTTGGCTTCTGGCTCCAGAGCTCCACTCAAAACCACCAATCTCTTCCTAGCTAAATCCTTTCATTGCTTCTCCAGTCCTCACCCCAGAAGGGGCTCTCAGCAGTGTCTGAGCCCCTTTGCACCAACTCCTTCTTGTAATTCCCTCCCACTTTGGCTTTTATGATGTCACGCTCTCCTCGCCTTCCTTCAGCTTCTGGCTGCTCCTTCTCGGTCACACGCCCTGGTTCTCTTTCTTCTTCCCACTTCTTAAACACTCAAGCTCCTCGGGATCCTGTCCTGGTCTCTCGTCTCTCTTCCCTCTTTATAGTCTCTCTGGAGTCGTCCCATATATCCCCGTGGATTCACCAACCGCCTCCTCACTGATGGCTCTTGTATCGGTCCACTCAGGCTGGGTTATGCGGTGATAACAGAGGACTCTCAAATTTCAGCGGCTTATAACAACAAGGGTCTATTGCTCGCTCCTGCAACATGCCCATCTTGGCAGGCTGAGTCTCAGCTCCTCCCTGGGATCCAGGATGAAGCTGCAGCCCTACCTGAGATATTGCTGGTCTTGGAGCAGAGACACAGGAGCATGGGGTGGACTATGCCCCGGCTCTTAGAGCTGATCGAAATGAAATGCACCGCTTCACTTCCACCCGCATTTTGTTGGCCCAAAAAAGTGACATAGCCAAGCCTGAGGTCAACAGAGCAGAGATTTATAATTTCCCCCAAGAAATGGATTCCTCTCTTTGAAAGGGAAGAAGATATTTTGAATGATCAGGCAGTCTAACGCATCCTAAATTCGTGTCTCCAATTCTGATTTCAAGGACAGGACAAATTAGTTTTATTCTTGTGCGTAGAAACCAGCTCAAGTTCAGATCCAACCTGACAAGCCAATAGCAGCAAGGACTCTGACCCTAAAGGTCCCGTTGCCTTCTCTGAACAATGACCCTCAGGAAGGGGTTGCCCAGTGGAAATCCCCGGCGAGAAGAGCTGGTCTCCAGGGCTGAGACGGGAGCCCCGCGGGTCTGCTCTCCATGGTTCTGAACACCACTGTGCGCTGGACAGCATGGTTTCTTTCAGCCCTGGGACCTTGTCGGATGCCTGTTAACTTCCTCAGCAGTTAGAGATTTTTTTAAAATGAATATAGTCACATCACATATGGTTGTACAACAAATAGAATGATCCTATTGCGTAGGAAATGTAAACACATTTATCAGGGATTTTTTCTTTTTGCTTATAATGGAACCCCACTAATAATGGAAAAATGGAATCCCGACTCAATTTGCTTAAACAATCAGGGGTTTGTAATCTCATATGACAAGAAGCCTGAGGGTGAGATAGAGCAGGAGGTGGCTAATTCAGGAAATCACACCCTAGTTATCAACAGTCCAGATCCTTCCCATCCTTCAGCCTTGCCGTGCTCAGCATTTCAGCCTCACCCTCAAGGTGGATCATCTCATGGTCACAAGGAGGCTACCACAGTTCCAGACATTACGTCCTCTGGGAAACGTATACAGGAAGAAAAGGGACAGCATCTAACAACGTGTTTTTCTTATCACTGAGGAAAACCTTTCCCAGGATCCCCCAGCAGCCCTCCCTTCAAGCCCACACTAACATCCCATTAAAAATGACAAACCCCGCTAGTGCTCCTGGATCCCTTACCTTGTTCTACTTTCTTTCCCTATAGCACACATCTCCTTAGAACAAACCATAAACTTGCTTACTGTTGATTACCTGTCTCTCTACTAGCATACGAGCTCCACCAGGGCAAGGATTCTCGTCTGTTCTGTTCACCTCTGTGTCCCCAGCACACATGGCAGGTGCTCGGTCATAGTTATTGAAGGAATGAATGACTTCTCATGGGCCAGCATTGTGTCACATGCCTCAGCCTACATGATTCACTGGCAAGGGACCTGAGACAACTATGTTTGGCTCAGACCCAAGATGGTCCACTTCGTGGAGTGGGGCTGGAGCACACTTCCCCTGGAGGCTCAGGCCACAGCCAGAAGGGTAGATTTCTGATCAAACTGAGGTCCTTCCAGTACTCCTGGATCTATCACAGCCCTCCAACACCTGTTTCATAGGGTATCTTCTCTCCTTGGAACTCTGACTCCTCTCCCCCACCCTCACTCTCACTCCCACTGAAAACATAGAAGCGACAGAAGAGAAATCCCACATGCTCCCACAATCACATCTACTCACCTACCAGCATAAGGGCTGGATCTTCTGCCAGCCTCCTTTCCAAGTCCAGCTCCTCCACTTGGACCTTAGATCTTACCCCTTTCTCGCCAAGGAGACCCTCCACAATTCTCTCCCCCTCATCCCACGTCATCAGTTTTGTCTGTGTATTCCTATCATTTATATTGTTTAAAGAAATTCTACCTCAACCCTGCATACCCTCCAGCTACTACCCCATTTCTCTGCCTTCCTGGATTAGGTTTCTCCAGAGAAACAGAACCAACCGTATAGTATAGATATAGGTATAGATAGATGTAGATATATAGAGAGATTTATTATAGAAAGTTGACTCATGCAGCAATGGAGGCTGGGAAGTGCCAAGACCTTCAGTCAGCAAGCTGGAGACCCAGGATGGCCGCTGTGTCGCTCCAGCCCAAGTCTAAAGGCCCGAGACCCAGGAGAGCTGTGCTGTAGGTTCCAGTCTGAAAGCCAAGAAGCTTGAGACCCAAGAAGCCAATGTTTCAACTCAAGTCCAAAGGCCAGAAAAGACCAATGTCCCAGCTCAAACAGTCAGGCAGAAGGAGTCCCTGTGACTCAGTCTTTTTCTTCTATTCAACTGATTAGATGAGGCCCACCCACATCAGGAGAGCCACGTTCTTTACTCACTCTACCAATTCAAATGG